GTTGTTTAGTTTTAAATGTTGATGTGTATGTCATTAACATAAAAAATACTAATACATAATACATAATACACACACACTCTCTCTCTCTCTCTATCTCTCACTCTCTCTCACATTCTCTCTCTCACTCTCTCTCTTTGTCTCTCTCTCAACACTAGCTCTTTCTCTATCTCAATACTCCACAAATATATATGGTTTGTATTTAAAATAAACTATGAATCGTTTTCATCGTCGTGAACATAAAAATAAAATGCTACAGTCATAAATATGCAACATTAAATCTTGACATATCCCTAGCATGAGTGTACTTAAACTTTTGTTCCCCCTACATTATTTATACGAGGCGTTTTTGTGAAAAATTTCGTGGCACGAAAATTTGTGTATCTCATGAACCAAAATGCTTTGATGTAACTCTCTACGATAACGGGTTCCGCCTTACGGATAGAAATTTAATTATTTCATATGGCGAGTTAGTCATCAATGTGCATTTTCTGAAACGGTTTTTAGCACTGAATTCATCAGTGAAAACAATTTTTAATTTAGAGCCACCGTTCTCAAGTTATTCAAAAAACTTTTACCCAACTCTGTTTTCGGATAAACGAAATCTCCAACTTGTTGTTCTCCAGTTTATTTATTTAACAGTTTAATATGTAGAAACTTACTTGCTCATAGTATCAAACGAAAAAAAAATCACAATTATTTCTTCAAATAACATCGATTAACAGGACGCTACGGATGAAGCTCATTAAAGCGTGATTTACCCCCTGGTGCAAATTTCAATCCACTTTTCCCAACTCTGAAATCATCTCCATTTTTCTTTTTCCACAATTAAATAAATGATTTTTTCCTTAAATATCTCGGTACTAAGGAAGCGGTTAATTTAGTGCCAATTAAAATGATAAATAAATTGTTTCTTGGTTGAAGAAGCTGGAGAAGATTTTGTTTTTACGAAAAACAATGTTCGGAAATAGTTTTTTGCGGTAGTTGAGAACGGTTGTACCAAATTAAAAACTGCTTGCATTATGAAATCATCGTCTAAAAACCTTTCAAAGAATGAAAATTTTGAGTTGTGATCAAAAACTTTTGGCTCATGAGAAACGAAACAAAAAATAAAAGTATTCTCACTCTCTCGGGGTTTTCGCCCCAACATGCCCGAATAAGAAAAAATAATAATAAAGAGAGGATGGAACAGAATTTTCACTCACCATGCAATTACATTTTCTAAAATTATATCTAGCACGGTTCGTAGCAGATTCTGTATCTGGTGCACTTAAGTCCCGGTCAACTAGCTGAACACAAATTTACGAAAATAAACTTATTTGTTTACCCATGCGTTTTATTTGTAGCAGGCACTATTGTTAGTTACGAGCACCTTATTTATTTATTAGTTTGTTTTTAGTTATTATTATTATAATGGACGTTCGAGGTCAGTCCCCACTTTTAGCTAAAATAGACTAAAAACAATTATAAATTAACATTCAAGACACAATATAAATACAGTACATGTGCAATGTCTTAATTATTCATAATTAAATAATTGTTTTTGGTATATTTAGATGTGGTACTGACCCTGAAGCGTACATTATGATAATAATAATAAGGACAAAATACCACAAAACAAACTGTTTTTAACCTAAGCAATAATTTTTTTACATTTTCCATTTTAATTATACTTTAACTAACGGCGTCTATAAGATTCTGTTTAAAGTGTTAGATTTATCGACCAGTTTTATTAATTTCTATTTTATCTTTATTTGAATTTATTGCATTTTATTTTATTTTCTTTCTTCATTATTTTTATTTTTTCTTTCATTTATTTGGTCTTCTTTTGATTTAATTTTTAGCAATTTTGTTCACTGACATAACTCCTGCCACCTGTTACAAGCTTTTAGGCGACAGGCGTAAATAAAATAAATAAATAAAATTATCAGGGCAAAACTATCTTAAACCTTGACATTAATTACAAATTGGCATAATTAAGTTTTTAATGAGGGGCGTCGGTGGCCGCAACGGTTTAGGCGTGGACACGGCGCTCATCACTGTAGGTAAAGGTCCCGGGTTCGAATCCAGCAGCCCGACATTCGAACCCGACATACTTACAAATGGGCTTTTTTTTCAAAAACACCGGCACCCCGAGGGTTGATATAACCTCTGCTGTTGCGAACCCTCGTAAAAAAAAAAGTTTTTAATGGATGGTTGCAATTTTCTTTGAGAATTGACCCCACAATCAATCATAACATTACCAAGGATCAATTAATAGTGTTGGCGTTGTTGGGACTGAGACAGTCTAAAAACTATATACATATATCAATCTATAAGATTATCATTCAATATTTTCCTGGCAAAAATGTTTTATGATAGCTATAAAAATGACGAAATGTTTACGAAAAGATGAAGATTTCAATTTCACATGACAGTTATGTTTTATTGTAGATTTAAGTCAAAGGATGTGCTTGCTAAATAATTATTTGTTTCATTCGATTCAACAAGACAAAAAATAAGTTCTTTAAGTTCCTATACTTAACTCGTCTACGTTTTTGTGATTAAAAGTTTTTTTTCTAACAATAGCATTTATGTACTTATTTTTACGACATTTAAAATAAAACAATGGTGATCTGTTATATGATTACACTACCGGTCTTCCCTTCCGTTGCCGAACGAATTTCTTTTATGGAATATTCATTATCAATGAGAATGAATTAAGAATTAAATTCTCGATTCCTAGAAAGAAAATAAATGTCCTCAAAAAGCGTATCAGTCAAGTTTTAATATCGGTGTCATTATCATCAATTTAATTTAAAATTGCTGCTTAAGTCACATTAAAATTTGTAGCAACTAATAAATTCGAGTTATCTTTCCAACGACGATTAGTTCGAGAAAAATTTGTTCATAAAAATGCACTTTCAAAAAATTATTCAAAAATTTAAATATTATGAACAAATTCAATATACTTTTTTAGTAATTATAATAATTTTGTATCAAATGAAGTTAATTTATTAGATGATAATAGTATTAATTTTTCTACGTTTGAACCGGAAATGCACTTGATGGCACGTTTTAAATTTCATAAAATACGATATTATCAAATGCAGATATATTTCAATATAATTAATTAATAAAAAAGGTAAATAATTTAGAAATTTTGTAATGTTACATTTACTGCCATTATTATTTCATTATTATTTGGAGATCGTGAGATGCGGTCTGGTGTGACATAGATTTTAGAAAAACATTTTCTTTATCGTGCCAACGTTTCGATCTTTATTGAGGTCATCTTCAGGGCCTGGGATTTATAAACATTGATTAAATTATACAAATTACACGTTAACAATGTTTATAAATCCCAGGCACTGAAGATGATTTCAATAAAGATCGAAACGTTGGCACGATTAAGAAAATGTTTTTCTAAAACCTACGTAACGCCAGACCGTATCTCACGATCTCAAAATAATCATTAACTAACGGTCACTAAACACCACAAATTATTATTTCAATAACCGGAAAATAAACATCTAAATTTCCAGATCAACAAGTTAATCCAACAAATCATCATTGAATCGTACATATTTCTCTTAGACGAATTTAAATTTAAAAATTTGCTTACAAACACAGATAAAATCTAAGCTGATTTCCACATAAAATCGGGTCAGGTTAAAATACGTATTCAACCGGATGCTGGCCGATAATACCAAATTGTAAAATTAGGACGTTGTGGGATAATCTGTACGCGAAATCCATCAATTCTAAACTCGAACAAGAATTTTCTTACAGTATTACATATTACAATAAAATTAATCTATACTTCGAGAAATTAGCAAATATTTATAACTTTTAACAAACATTGAATAAGTGACTGCTCTGATTTCGGTCGTGCTGGTTAGTCTGCACGTAGAAGAACAAATCGAACCTGATCGACACTCATATTATCGGTTCCCTGTTTTACCTTTCACTCGTGCGTGTTTCCACTTCACGCCGTCTTCAGTGATGAACTGATTTTAAACTGATTAAATTCTGATTTTATTTATTTATTATACATTTATTTCAATTGTATATAGTAAATATTGTCGTGCTTCATATTTAATCATATTTAAAATTCAAGAAGTATAAGAAATCTTCCGAAATTAGACTAACTTGAAAATTGAGAAATTTCACATTTTGGAATTTACAAAAAAAAAAAATAAATACTGGTATGACATACTAATATATTATATGGACCTTTCGAATTTCAGACAGAATTTTCCAAAGTTTTGATTAAAAAAAATTAACAGAAAATTCTGTAGATCATACTAGCGATATTCTTATTGTTTCCATAGTTCCTAGTTTAAAAAAATTTTCAGACTATTTCAACTTATTTTATATCATTCCAATTTCGCACTGGATTTTTTAGCAGTATATCAAATTTAACATGAATTTATAAAAATATGGGACATAGACTCGTCTGAGTCCGAGAACAAATAAAACTACGAGAAAATAATTAAAATGCAATTAAACAAACATTTTTTTCTGAAAAGAGACCTGAAAAGTAATTGCTACTATCCATGCAAAACTCGCACAAAAATATTTTATAATTTTTTGTACAACGGACTTTTTATAAGCGGTATCATTTTGATCTTAACAAATTTAACATTATTCTTCATTTAATTTTTGCAAGAGAGTAAGAATAATATGATAATTTTTGATACAAAACCCAGACCTCTCACTCTTTTAATCTAAAGATTTTAAAAAGATGAGCGTTTGTACAAATTTTAAATTTATGCAAGTCGAAATAAATTTTTAAAAATTGATATTCCCAAATGATAAGTGGCTTGCGAGCCATGAAGGAAATTTGTTCTACACCCTGTAAAACAATAAATATAGGATTTAAGTTGATCCGTTGCCTTTAAGACTAAATCTTATCTAGAAACATATAATTAAACTAAGTCGATAGTCAAACACTGCGGATTTTTGTACAATTTGCCGGGCGATTTTTTTGCAATATATCAGGATTTTTTTTTAAGGCTCACCTTGGTAAGAAGCATACTGAACGGCTTTGTCAAAGCATACGCTCCTTCTTCTGGCCGGCCCTTTTCTTAGGTAGATGTAGTTCTCGATATCCCAGGGGTCGAGGTACCTCCTCTCGAGCGAAGACATTGCTTAGGACTGAAGAGGACGCCGTTGAACAGGGGTTGCCCCACTCGGCAGACCTCCCGCCACAGAAGAGAACCGTGGAATCGCTTCCCTGAATTGAAAAGTACAGCTTTTAGCTTTCGCACTGGTTTACTAGATCTGGCAAATCTTATTCTTCTTGAAATTATGTTTTAAAAAAGTTAAGCTTAAGGTTAAAGGATCAACGTCGGTGATTCGGCTTGGTCATTTTGTAGATAAATCAACTAACGTATAACCAGAAAAATTGTTCAGTACGGTATAATTTCCTTGCTGGATTTTATACTGATTAATTTTAAATATGACTATATATCATTCATACTGTGACCTACCTTTACATCTCAATACCGTCAACACCACAATTTTGTCCGCTAATTCAACTCTCATTCAAGCTACCTCCAACATCCAAGAACATCCAGTTATCGAAGGAAAAAGTGGAGAACAAGACTGAATGAGAAAAAATTACTCAGATTTCGCTTACATTGAAAAACAGACTTGCCCTCCACCGTACATCAACAACGAGAGAAGCAGATTGCCATTCAAAGCAACAAGACCAAACAAGACTTAAGAGACAACTTAAGAGAAGACTTGGACAACGAAACAGGCTTCTAGGACCGAAATTTGTCTTGACTCAACTAACCACATCATTTGAATTGTTGTCTTATATGTTTAGGCTAAAAATGTGTCCGGTTCACTAATGTAATTTTCAAAAATTGAAACTTGTAAAAGTTGTCATTATAGCCAAAGACAAAACAATTCAAAAATGGGATCTTCGGAATTGTTGAACACGAGTCAACTGTTATTACCAAATTACTATTGTTTGGCGATGATGATATAATCATCAAATTGTTTTAATAATAATCACCGCCGGAAAATAAAAAATCATATAATCGTCAAGTGTATAATCTTATAAATCAAAATTAATTTGGGGTCGTTGAAATGAGTTGTTAACCCAATCGTCTAGATGACAATGTTTTATTTCCCCTTCCCACATCGGCAATTCCAATGAACTATTTACCACTGTCGGAGGATCTGACTTTGAGGGGTCATCAACACCAGATTAAGAATAGGGCATGCAAGGTTGACAAACAGGTACTTTATTTTGGGCCAAATCCTGCGTATGTGTCCGGCGTGTAGAGAAAGGTTGCGCACTGTGTCCCACCTAGTTAAGGGGTGCAATTCCTTGGTTCCATATAGAGAGCGAGTAGGAATGCTCTCTAATATGGATAATCGAGCATGACAGCCTCTGTTCCGATTTTTGGAGAAAACAGTGTTGTTTTATTGTATACAGTAATGATGGTTTTTCGTGTATCTAGAGTGTATAGAGAGTGAATATATTTAGTAGCGTGAATGTACCCTCGATTAGGTTAGTTGTACAATATGTGTGAAGTAATTCACCACCCTAATTGAACGAATGGTATGTAAATAGGAGAGAATGTATTTAAGAATGAATGTGAATATGATTGGGTTTGGAAGCAGAATTGACCTAGTTCCTCCCCCGAACCCAACCCCGGTGGCTGGATGGATAAGACCGAGTTCTGCCCCCGGGGTGGGTGATTCTTGAAGCTTGCCGGCAATCTATTATAAACTGGAAAAGCTGGGATTGCTGGTGGGCTGCGAAAAGATACTCTCAACTCTGCACGTTTGTACGTGTGTACGTACATGGGTGGATTTGAGCCTCACAAATCTAAAATCTAATTCAACGAACAATTTAAAAATTTAACATTTTTTATAATCGTTCATTTTTATATTATTATGAGGGTCTCATGTCTTTCCAAAAATAATCAAGTATCTGGTTCACTAATTTCATCAAAACACAGTTTGAAATTTGTAAAATTTGGCATAGGGTAAGTTAAAAAGAGGATTGACTAACACAAGAAATTTATATTATCGAATTAATGTCTGGCGATGGTGATATAATCATCGAAAGCTCGGCAATAAAATAATTGGCTTCTACTATACTTTCAATTTCCATTTTAACCGGCCGATTAGTATTCAGTAAAAGTATTATAGAACAGTAATTAATGAAATCGCTAAAAATAAAAAACCTTCCTCTTAAAAATTAAAATGCATTACCAGTCAACACTATCCTGCTATACCAGTTCAATGGATGCATTCCTATGCCCAGGATGATCGAACGGCCGTAATTCTGAAAACCACTCAAGAAGTCGCAGGACAACTAATAAGGCTTCATAATCTGTAACAATACCATAATCTAATGTTTGCTGTTGAAAAATTTTATGGAGGATTAAAATTATTTTAATTTGGTTTAATTGATGTTTGGAGGTTTGTGTGGATTTTGTATTTTTGAAATATTAAATTTTAAAGTTGCTTCAAATAGCCGAGTGGTTAGCATGAGAAACTCTCACGCCGCGGTCGTGGGTTCGATTCCCACCGTCGCCTCTGGCCCTTTTTTCCCGATAACCCCCAATTTGAACAACATATATAAGAATTCGTCATGGCTAATATGCAAAGATCATAAGGCCAATAAAAAATATATATATATATTGTCAACTTTCTAGTTTGCTTTGTCAAAAAACAGTCATGAGTAGGTTAAATAAAAAAAATCGTATCTTGATATGGTGATTAATAAGGTAATACATTTTGGTTGAATTCGAAAATCTAATTTAAGAATTTAAAATTTTAAGAATTTTGACGTATCCACAGGCTAAAAAAACCCTAATATTAGCCTAAATCACATATCCGTGTATCGATGCGTTCAATGTTAGAGTAAAAAATCAAGAATCTATAGTGATATTTACACGAGAAAGCAAAGTTGCATCAATGTTTTTGTACAACTTCACTGCGAACAATCAAGTTTAATTTTTTTTAAGACGATGAAACATTATAAAACATGCTACAATACCAATATTTGTCAACAAAACCCCATCAGTGTATCAGTGTGTTCAAAACCCAAAAATCTATTCTTATATTTCCACGATTTAGAGCAATTGCTTTATAATGTTCAATACCAACTGTAATTCCATTCCAGTTTTTGTTAATTATGATGAATCCAGAAGCTAAGCAGCAGGAAATTGCTCTACAACACCACATCCGTGTGTCGCTGCGTTCAAAACCCGATCATCTACTGTTATTGTGCGGTTTTAACCGACGGAGGACCACCCGAATGTAATCGGGAGGCGGGGAAAAAATATAAAATAAAATAAAACAGTTTTAAAATAAAAAATTATTGAAATATAAAATAAAGAAATGAAATAATAAAGATCCATCCCTAACCATCCCTAATCAGTTGTCGAATTCTCATTACTGCCAAAAGCTTTTCAAAACAGAAAAAATTCAACTGACATTTCTAAATTTAAATTAACATCCCCCAAAGATTTATTTATAGAAGCTTTATCCAGCTAAACATAGATTACATTTCGATAAATATCCATCCCACTTAAGAATGTTTAAATTTATAATAATATAAATTATTAATTTAACATAGGGATTATAATAACTATTTTCTTTATTTTTCGAAGGCCTTATTGCCCCTCAACCCATGCCAAACAACTTTCACGTTTTGCAGCCCTGCGTTGCTGGCATTGCCTAGTCTATTGCCGTAATGAACAATTAAATTAAATTATACAACGGATATTTTGTCAATAAAACTGTAATACCATGTATATTTCTTACCTATTTGCTCATTTATTACGCACCCGCGCGCGCACACGGTGTGTGTGTGTGTGTGTGTGTGTGTGTGTGTGTGTGTGTGTGTGTGTGTGTGTGAGACGAGTTGATAGCTTTCGCTGACGATCTGATCAGTGTTAATAGCTCCGTGTGGACGGCAGATAATAAAGAGAAATAATAGAAAAATGGGCATTCAATAGTAAACTTATTTCAAAAATATTTCAATCTATGTAAAAAAGATTGAAGACGCTGGAGTTTGTGGACAGTCTGAAATGCTTTGGTGAAATTAATTACCTATAGGAGATTAAGAATCAAAAAAATCGCGACCATTTAATCGAATCAATGAGAAGAACGATTGTGGAGATTGTAAGACTTGGAGGTCGTGTGTCGTCGATTGGAGAAAAGCACACATAGGAATCTCAGGAAATGAGATAGCTGATCAAGAAGCAAAAGATGCATGTATGCATCGATGGACGAGAAGATATTTTGATATTTAGACTCTAATTAGATAGGCTTCTTTTCTGAAGGCTGCAGCAAAAGCTTTTATCTTTATTTACGTTATGCACAGCACAGTCTAATTTTTAGATTATAAACTTTACAATTAAAACGTTACATGTTTAAATGTCTTACATTTAGTAATGAAGACTTTTGTAATAATAAAAATGGTCCTGACTAAACCGAAAACACAAAAACACACCACAAGTGATGGCACGTTGGTTTCTGCATGTTGAGCATGTTAATCAGTGACACCCTCAAAAAATTGCGGAAACGATCGCCGTGTATTTTCTAATCTAGATTATGTTACCTAATTTCTAATTGTGATTTATTTTTAAATCGCCAGGAAAACGATCGGTTTCTTAGACGATTAGTGTCGAGAATTAAAAAGCAGTCAAGGGGAAAGCCACTTCTAAGGGAGAATTTCACCAAAATGAACTTCTCTTCACGATACTTAATTGAAAGCAAAAGAGCTAATCTATAAAAATGGTATCATTTCTAACACTTGACTTGTTTTGACACGGTAAGAAGATTTAATTTCTTCGTCTCACAACCAGTACCAACAGATTTGGCATGTACATCTTACCTATTAATTCCGTTTTGAATCATTGTAAAAGACTAATGAAAACCATTATTAAAGGAGTTTTCATTTCATTTTACTGAAACCATTGAGGAAGCGAAGTGGAGTCAAGTGGATTGTGCATTTTCCGCTTTTATCTTCGGAAGAAATGTATTAACCAGTTAGACCTGCCATGTGATCAGCAAATAAAAAAGATCATTAAGCGAGGAACTATTATTGCTATTATTTTAAAAGTTTCTAAAACATTCTTCGCTAGAAAACATAATGATCGGCCTGTTTTACAATAAATGTTTTAAAACAATCAAAGCTTTTGGTGGTTAAATAGCCACCATCAGTGCAAACTTTAGGTAATGCGTTAAATTTTTAGTTCAAATAAATAAAAATATGTATTATTTATTTATTTAATATACGAGCATAACTGTAAATAGAGTTAAGTATATGAAAGTATGCAGAAGATTGTGACCTCGAGACCTCGTTGGCCCCTTAATCCTTCGAAATGAGTGCCAGAATTGGATGATTTCACATGGCAGGTGCCCTCTTGGTGCAGTGCTGGGCCTTAAGGTAGCACATACAGGAAATCCTCAAGGAAAAAGCGTCCGGGAACACTAATAACCACATCATTTGTAATGTGTTCTAATTCCGGTTCATTGATGTAATTTTCAAAAAATTGAAACTTGTAAAAGTACAACAAACCTAATAAAAGGGCAACTACGAACTTTTAGGACCGAAATATATCTAGACCGCCAAGACTTTTCTGCGACTATATTGGAGTGGAACTGTCTGCCAAGCCATCCAACATCCAGCGCCTGCAAGCCATCCAACATCCAGCGCCTGCAATCCTTCCAAACAAGTTGTCAAAGCTCCAAAATCACTAACCTCACTATCCACAACGACCTGAAAATCCTTTTTCTCAACGAACTTATCCGTTCCCGATTCCAAAAATTGTTACACCAAACTCCATCCTAACCTTACTGCTCGAGCCTTTTCTACACATTCCCACCCGTCACGTCGCCTGTCGACGGGGACCTCGTGACCTCGTTGCCCCCTTAATCCCTTGTCAAGAGAACCCAGCATTGGTGGTTTCATATAGCATGTGTCCTCTGGGTGCAGCGCTTGGCCTTAAGGATGCCATACAGGAAATCCTCAAGGAAAAAGCGTCCGGGATTTTCTTGGAGATTTCCTCTAATGAACCCGAGCCCATACAAAGGGAGAATTTTTCCTCAAGGAAATCCTTAAGGTAAAGCCCTAGTTCGGTGTTGTCTAGTGGTGACTGTTAGTTGTTCTCATCATTTTGGCCTCAAAACGGAAAAAAGAACTTTGTTTGTAGGGATTTCCCTTTCACCGCGGCCTGAAGGGCGCCGCCATTAACATTGAGAACTTGGATGTTCAGGCCGAACCTAGAGGAACTACAGCTTATGTATGGATATCTTTAATTTTAGTACTGACTTATTTATTATTGAATTTATTATCTTACAACAATATTTCGTCCGTTTTAAAGGTTTAGATCTAAATAAAGCACAGATAAAATCTCCCGCTTGTGTTTACAAACGGATTCTGAAAAATAAATCTTTAAAAAATTCAAAATTTCACAATCACATCAAAACAGCAGAATACAAATTCAAGTTTCATAACACCCAAAACCAATGTCACCACGAGAATAGCACCACACTTTATGTGGGTATGATATATAAAGTTGGTTAAAAATTTATATTTACATCTTAAATTGTATTATTTCCAATCAACATATGTTTTGTAATTTACCCAAGCTCTGAAAATGACCCGAATAAAGGTCGAAACGTCGGGGGAAGAAATTAAAAAGGTGTTTTTCTAAACTACCTCATTCTGACTTCAACAAATTACTGTAAATCCATGTTCACTGTGATTTGAGGCCGTTGTTTGTAATATCCTCGCAATAGCTCTCAGTCTCTTTATTTTCGTTTGTTAATAATCTAAAACAGTTTAATGTTTACGATATGTGAATGATAGTCTAAAAATGAATTAACTAATTGAAATCTGCTGTTTTTTTAAACTGTTGGTTATTTTGAATTTTAGTCGTAATGGTCCCCCAGTCGGTGAGGTTAGGGGGAAGGTTTTATGTTGAAACAATTTAATCAATTTAATCGCCCTTTTATAAAACACCAATAGCAAATATTGGTACGAATAGTCTTGACTTTTTCCAAATACATAATCGGTCATCATTTAAAACAATAAATTTTTTAAAAAATCAAGTTGCATACCTAATGAAGTCAGCTAGTTTGGCAAAAGGCCGAGCTGGCGTGGAAGGGAAAGGCGACTGGCGACATTTCGGCTGTTGGTGAAATGGTCAACGCGTCGGCAGGCGGGATTTTATCTGACTGAACGGTGAAATTCTCGCAGCAACGCCTTGAAAAAAAAAAACGCTGGAATCCTGATCGGCGACGGAATCCTGGGAATTGCGCGCGGAGGCGGCGCCACGGCCGCTTTGTTGACGATCCAGCCGGCTGTGGGACCTGCGGAGAATCTGAAACCAAACAAGAACAGTCGGTTCAATCTGGCGTAACAACATTCCGTAACCGCTCCGCTCTTGCTTGCACCCAGCAGTTGTTTCAGGTTTGTTCGAAGCAATTTGAAGCCGCCGACTACACGAAAATATGGTCAAGAGGAAAGTGCAGGTGTTGCTGGACTCGGATACATCAAGCGACAGCAGTGCGTCCGATTTGGACAATGTAAGTCGTCTTTATTATTAAAACTCATTACTTATAATTAAATACAAGCCAAAATCGAAAAACGCTCACGAAAAACAAACAAAAAAGCCTTCCCGTGTCTCATACCTTCCATAAACAAAACAGAATCTAATTAAATAGACTCAACATTGCAACTAGCATAGGTGTAACTGCGTTTTTTCATGTTGATGCCTAGGAGCTGCTGTCCTTGGCGAAGAAGAAGAAAACCAGCAACGATGAGAGCGAGCCCAGCATGAAAAAGGCGACCAACGCCTACTCCGACTCGGAAACCTCCTCCGGTTCCGACGGTGACTGGGACGCGAGGGGTAAATCGAAAAAGAAGAAGAAAACTAAAAAACAGAGCAAAAAGGCCGTCTCCAAGTCATCGTCCGACTCAGACAGCAGCGACGAAGAGAATGGAAACAATGACAAACACTCTGAACCCGAAGAAGGTAAATTTTAACATACTAGTGGGTCTTGCCGTTCTACTAGGGATAGGGATAAACGAGGCAGCCACAAGAACCTCGACCTGAATAGACTATTGTGCTTCCCTATTTTTTTATAAGTCACTGGCCAGGTTCGAGTTGTTAATCAGCTTCCCTAGCTTTGCCAGCCAGCAGCTTCTTAGTGTAGGATCTTGCTTGCGGTTTTTCTTATCCTAGTTGCAAGAACCTGCACCTACATTGACCACCACTAAAATATAAACATGTTCTGCGGTCTCCTGTTCTTCCTGGCAGGCACAGTTTTTCTACTTCTTTCCGGTGCATGTGCTTTCTTAAGTGGCGATGTCCTGTCAGGAGTCCAACCAAAATCCTGGTTCGGATGTGGTTGTGTTCCAGTAATTCTTCTGTAAGTTGGCCCTTCTGGTTCTTCTATTCTTCGCATGCCTCATACCTGTGGTATTGTACCATCAGGTTTTGAACTCGTGAAGGACCCGTTTCAAGATGTACCCTCTTTTGTGGCAGGATGCTAAGCCACAGTAGAGTTTATGACCCAGCAAAACACAGATTTATTATGGTTGAAGCCATAATTTCAGATGTTGTAAAAGCGCCTATTCACTAAGCAAATCTCAATCAACAAAAGAGACCAACCGCTTCGTTGGATGTGGTTTGCTTAATGTGTACGGAAGGTGAATCAAAGCGAACGAAGCATTGGTCGAGATTTGGACTAATGGCAGTAACGTTAAAAGGATTGATGTTGTTGATTGTGATTCCACATGGCTGAATTACACTTAAGTAAGTCACGAATCACACTTAAGTCCAACCCCTTTAATAAGGATGGCTAATGTGTGGCGACCAATGTTCTTACACCAAAAATTTGCCGACTTTGCTCTGTGGTGACAGGCAGGGTTAGATAGTTTAATATTGGAATATAATAATTGGAAATGGGCGCCACACTGTTTAATATGTGAAACTGAAAATTAACTAAATAAAGAGTTATTGAGAAATTAACCAGGAATTAAAGCCTAGGTTTGTGTATCTTTAACAACTAAACAGGCTAGATGTCCTCATGCTTAAAAATATCAGGCCAATTAACTGTATAATTAATTTTTTGATAGTTTCCATCCCAATTTTGTGTAACTCCGTAACAAGTCGATGGGTAGGAAGTCAAATTGTCTTTTTTACCAGCAATAGGCATTTTTTGTCAGGCATATTTATAATTTCAGTGACTTTTTGAAAATAAAGTAGCTTGATGGTTTTTTCATAGTTATAAGTTCAAAAGTGATGAACTTGATGACTCGCCACGTTCATAGTCATTTATTAATAGTAGTAGTTAGCATAGTAGTTTATTTTTAAAAAAGTCACTGAAGATGGTCATATTACACCGAAACGCGTCTGACAAAATAAATGCCTATTGTAAAAAAAAAAAAATTTACTTCCTCCCCATCAACTTAACTGTATAATTAAAAAATTCTAAGTAAATAGTACACAATATTTACATAGTCAAAAAGACACATTTATTACTAAGGAAACTAAAATACAAAACATTGATAACTTAATTGTCTACGAGTGATAATATAACAATTGACAACAACCTTACAGACTAAATGAACTTTACCTTAAAATCTAAATAAACTTTTATTACAAGTCAATATACATTAAGGATCATAATTGACCTATTTAATTATTTCAATTAATTACACTTTTTATCTAAAGTCTTGGTTGAGATGAAAAAGTTAGTGTCATGAGCAGTATTCGAACTCACGACTTCGGCTCAATGCACTGCTGCTCTAACCACTTGAGCTATTATGACCTTCGATCCACTAACCACCCGTCCTGAGAACTAGTGTATATCTGCGCTACTTGATTCCAATGATGTTGAAAATCGCCACTTCTAAGTGAGTGTGAAGCACTTCTCCAAAGTTGGGTGGGTCCATTGTTGCCTTAGTTGATGAAGGAATTGATGATTTTCTAAAGATCCGGCCAGGCCGTAGAGATACTGACCTAATCCCTGCACTAATCCTAAGCCTAACTCGGCCATATTAATTGGAGATTGACACACTGCCAGCTTTAGTTAAGGAGGCGCTATAATTTATGAGACATACCCTTAATTTTACAGACATATTTTGTTACGAATGTTACAACGTTCGGTCCAATATTTTTGTTCTCTTCCATTGGCTGAGATTTACTTAATGTCTTAAGTAGATGTTTATATTTGCTAACTAGTTCCTCAAAAGTTAAGGAAATGAGTGTTTTTCTTTCTTTCAAATTTGCCTTATCCCTTGTCTTTTATTATACAATTATAAATTAATGCTGGTATCAATCGTGCCAGCATTATTGTTATTACTGACAGTCCGCTACTTACACATTGTCCTTTTATCTTTTGATTATGTTCAGAAATCTTCTGGATATTTATAATATGATAAAAGTGTATAGTTGCAGTTATCAATGCCAGTTGAAATAACCTCATTATCGTACTCATCGTGTTTTCCTGTTTTTTTTGTAGCCATCATACGGTTGTTAGTATTGTTGCACCTAAAAATCTGTGCTTTGGCATTTCATCACCTACGGTGTATAAAGGGGCTCTCTGAGGATAGATTATTCCGAGAAATTATGAACTATGGCCCATATGTGGATAGCTGGTGATCTTGCACCAAAATCAGTGGAATTTGTTTGGGAAATGAAATCACAACTTATATGTATAGAGAGGCACTTCTAGCTAGTTTCTCATTTGTAGAGTTGATGATGGGTTTTGGTCTGAGAGAAGGTGAACTCATTCTGAAACGGCAATGGGTCTATCTCCTCTTGTGGGTTTTTGAGTTATTCAAACGCGTTTCAGCATCTTCATGAGGAACTGTCTGTCACTTTGTCTGAGTAGGGTTTATACAGGGTGAATTGCTACTCGTGCTACAAACTTCTCCAGTAGATTCTTCACCCTAAAATGAACAAAAAAGTTCATATTGTCCATGGTCCGATTCTCAACCATTTCAGAGTAATTTCGCTTTTTATCGATTTTGAAAGATATCACGTCCTGGCGTCGGAAAATCGTGATATCTTTTAATCTAAACATTTCTCTGAAAATCTAATAGCACCGTTGAAATTCCCGTTAATTTTTCAATAAGAAGATGACGGTGGCAAAATGTTTGGGCTAATTTTTTGTGTTTTATTTCAGCCAGAACTACAAAAAGAGTGGAAAATTGTGTAAATCGGAAAGTGTATAAAGTAATCCAGAGTTTCTAATTTTAGTCTCAGAAGGCAGCAAATTTGAGGAAAACTACCTGATTTAATAACGCTTCCAACGCACTCGTCATTTTCTTATTTAGTGGTTGTGAGACCAAGATGTTGATGACAAAAAGAGAAAAAATGGTGGTTCAAGGATTGCTAATGTTTGAGAGTGACTTGCTACTCGTGCTACAAACTTCACCAGTAGATTCTTGACCCTAAAATGAACAAAAAAGTTCATATTGACCATGGTCCGATTCTCAACCATTTCAGAGTAATTTCGCTTTTTATCGATTTTGAAAGATATCACGTCCTGGCGTCGGAAAATCGTGATATCTTTTAATCTAAACATTTCTCTTAAAATCTATAAGCACCGTTGAAATCCCCGTTAATTTTTCAATAAGAAGATGAAGGTGGCAAAACGTTTGGGTCTTTCTTCCTTGACCTTCTAGCTGTTTGTAAACTTCTTAAGCATTACATACTAAATGGGCATTAAATTAAATTAAAAAATTTCAATGGAATTATGATTTTGATTCTCTCTAAAAATTAACGGGGATTTCAACGGTGCTTATAGATTTTAAGAGAAATGTTTAGATTAAAAGATATCACGATTTTCCGACGCCAGGACGTGATATCTTTCAAAATCGATAAAAAGCGAAATTACTCTGAAATGGTTGAGAATCGGACCATGGACAATATGAACTTTTTTGTTCATTTTAGGGTGAAGAATCTACTGGAGAAGTTTGTAGCACGAGTAGCAATTCACCCTGTATATCATTCTATGTACCTCAGGTTGTCAACTACAGAACAGTTGTAAAATATACAATATATATATATACATCAACACAAATATAGAAGTCTGAAGTACTCAATATTCCTCAGCATTGGTACTAGAGCTGATAAAAACCAAAGTTGTGACTAATTTTTATTGATAATTTCTCACTACGGCTTCAATTAAAAAAGCAACAGCATATTTGGCATAGCTGCTAAATTTCTATAATTCAACATATAATTGACTGTATTTGTATAAATCCTTTTAAGTATATTAGGGTACGTAGTAAATAAAATATTTTTTCTTTTCAATTCGAAAATATATTGCACAATGTTTATTATGTACGTTATTTTCAAATGTCGTGTAATCAATTTGATTCTCGGCGACAAATGAAATGGCCATGTGGAGAGTGAAAAATGGCAAAAAGGAGGGAAAATTCAAAAGGTGTGGTTGAGATGGGAAGTTGATGTTCGAGTGGGTCGAGGTCACGATAGCTCAAGTGGTAGAGCAGCAATGTATCAAGCCGAAGATCGTGGGTTCGAATCCCGCTTGTGCCATTGACTTTTTTATCTCAACTGAAAACCTTAATTAATTAAAAATAAAAATAAAATAGTGTTGTTGACACTAAATAAATTCTCTTATCTTACATATAAGTCAGTTAATCATTGTCAGATGGGCTGTCATGTTTAATAAAATGTTGAGTGTTAATAAAAACTATTTGGTTAAAAGTAGTTAATTCTTGAAATAGTAATTATGATTTTTTCTGATTATTCTTCTAAAAAATAATTTCATTGAGCATTTTGATTGATGTCACATGATAATAGGAAAAATAATTTTTAAACTAAGTTCAAACGATAGTCCAGGCTTATGTATATCTCCTTGACAACTTTTATATAGATATTACTTTATTGTAAGAGATTACATGGTTAAGGTTTTTTAATCAAATGTAACTTCACTTTCTTTGCTGCATTAGGCAAAATAAAAGGACACTTTTGTGTTATGGTTGTTGCAATTGTGTAATAAGTTCTATAGCCATATTATACATTTAACATTAATATGGAAATAATGTAAACCAGCAAGCAAATTAAATCTCTTCGCATTTACAGAACTGTTTTGTTAAGCATAATAAAATCACAGTGGGAAAATGATGTCTTGTAGCTTTGTTTTATTTGTTTGATTTGGACGGAAACAGCAGTACCTAAAATAAGGTATAAAACACAAACAAAATAAAAGTATTATTTTTAGGTGAGGTTTCTGAGTCAGGCAGCAACGCTTCTGGGGATGATGATGAAGATTCATCAGACTCTAGCCAGGATGAGTTCAACGATGGTTACGATGAAAACTTGATGGGTGATGAAGAGGACAAAGCTCGATTAGCGAAAATGACTGAAAAAGAAAGGGAGCAAGAAATTTTTAAAAGGGTGGAGCAGAGGGAAATAATGAAAACAAGGTAGTTACTTTTTGTATAACTTTTCCTTCTTTGTTATAATTAAATACTTTATTAATTATGGTAATCTGTTAAGTTTGGTAATTTAATGGTTATTATTTTTTTTAAAAAATGCCCATTACAGGTTTGAAATTGAAAAAAAGCTCAGGCTGGCCAAGAAACAAGAGATGAAGAAAAAGAAAAAAGGAACAAGCGCTAAGAAGTCTCAGTCAGACAATAAAATAGACGTAAAAGAAAGGAGTAAAGAACGCAAGAAGACTGTTGAAGAAAACCGAGGGAAGATGGACAAAAAGGCCCAGGCAATGAATCTGCTCAAAGCCAGGAGAGAAGAGAAAAAAGAAAGAGGTAATATAAATAATTTGTTTTGTATTTTTCATACTGACTAATATTCATTTTAAAAAAATAGAAGAAAAAGAAAAACAGCAAAAGGCAGCAGAAGAAAAGCGAAAAGAGGAAGAAGAGAGTAAGAAGAGATTAGACAGTGATATCGATGATGGTGAAGGAGGTGGAAGCACCACGGGCAAGACGAAGCTAAAAGCTAGTGATATCTACAGTGACGACAGCGGGTCTGATAGTGATACATCTCCACCTTCGAACGCAGACAGACAGAGGAGACCAGACCTCAAACGCGATTCCTCGAGTTCAAAGAGCAGCTCTTCTGACTCTGACTCAGATGCAAGGTATTTTCATTTGTTATCAAATTATTATTTTTTTTTTTCTATTGATTAAACTTTGGTGCTTTGACAGATCTACAGAAAGCTCAAAGGTCAAAACGAAGAAAATCCAATATATAACAACCAACGAGGAATTAAACAGAATTAGGTTATCACGTCATAAAATGGAAAGGTAACATTTTAATTTTTTTTCTTTTTAAAAATAGAAAAAGGCAAAAAGGAGGGAAAATTCAAAAGGTGTGGTTGAGATGGAATGTTGAAGTCCGAGTGGATCGAGGTCACGATAGCTCAAGTGGTAGAGCAGCAGCGTATCAAGCCGAAGATCGTGGGTTCGAATCCCGCTCGTGCCATTGACTTTTTTATCTCAACTGAAAACCTTAATTAATTTTAACAATAGATTTTAAGTCGTTTAAAGTTGTCATACTTTATTTTTGTAGTGTCATTTACTTTTACACGATATGATTTTTTTAACTTGCTATTATTTATTATCGTATGAATATATATCTGGCTACAGGAAAAAATTAGGAAGTTGAAATAGTGTTGAGAAATTGGTATAATTAATTTACTTATGCACTAAAATATATGTGGTCTAAGAACACACAGTTTAACTTAGATAAATCTTCATAAAAGTTCAAATTTAGACATTTCTTTTTGTAAATGTGTTCTTTCATAGGCAGATTTATTCAAGCATTTCTTAGTAGAGTCAGTTTTGCTTTAATTTTTTCCTTGTTCCTTGTTACTTTTTACTTTTCAATTCAGATGCTTGTACTAAAGAGAAAGTTTAAAACTTTTAGACTTTTTAAATATTATTAAAATAGTTTTTGTGCACTTTATCGTACAATTTAAGATTGATAAAATACATCAAATGAATCTATTGATTTCTTCCTGATTACTTCATAATATGCATTATAATTGGGGAGGGGGCGAATGAGTAAAGCAGGGAACAAACTTAAGTAAGCGCAAGCCACGGACAGCATGTATCACAAACGCAACGCCTTTTGCTCATAATGCATTATTATGAGCAAAAGCAGGTACTAAATTGTTAATTAAATTCATTCCATCATTAAATGGTATTCCGGGGTTTTGATAAATTTTGTATCAAACCACCCATAATTAAATAACTTTAATCAAAACTCTTTAATTTTTGATCCAGTTTAATTTGGTTTACATTAAAATAAGAATGTTTGTAATTAATAAAATGACAAAAACACTTATAGTTTAAAATAAACAACAAAAAATATGGGTCCAGTTCTTTTGTCTTCGACTGTTCTCGGTACTACTCGACGAGAATACCTCCGAGTGGATCGAGGTCACAATTAGCTCAAGTGGTAGAGCAGCGGCGTATGTAGCCGAAGATCGTGGGTTCGAATCCCGCTCGTGCCATTGACTTTTTTATCTCAATTAAAAACCTTAATTAATTGTAATATATTATTTGGTCAAGCAAACCACGAAATTAATGAATTAAAATGAAGTATACTTCACTCAAGCTCTCCGTGGCCATTTCATTTGTCACCGAAAATCCAATCCGATTACACGACATTTGAAAAATGGCAAAAAGGAGGGAAAACTCAAAAGGTGGGGTTGAGATAGGAAGTTGGTGTCCAAGTGGATCGAGGTCACGATAGCTCAAGTGGTAGAGCAGCGGCGTATATATCCGAAGATCGTGAGTTCGAATCCCGCTCGTGCAATTGACTTTTTTATCTCAACTAAAACCTTAATTAATTGTAATATTTTAAGTTAAATATATTCTTAATCACAAATTTTAAAAAAAAATTAATGCTCACAATAAAAAATTGTAAAAAAGAAAAAAAATTAATTATAATTTTTGTGCATGTGCAAAAGAAACACTTACTTGTATGCCTTACGACAATAAACTAAATTAAAACAATTAATTCAAAATAGTACTTTCTTTTTATATTGGACTTTAGGGTTTTTTTTCCCCCATTTTAAGAGTTCTAGTTGGACCCTCACAACATATTTTGGGCTGAAGTATCCAAAGTGTATCAGACACTTCAAATATAAATGGGCAGCTCCCACACCCTTCCTTCCCCATCCCTCATCATCAGTGAACCACTCTTTTCTCCTCCTTCTGTACACAATCTGGCCTTTTTCTCAAACTTTTGCAAAATTGCAATCATTTTTCTGCAAAATGGATGCCGATCGGCTGCAGTGTCTCTATCCCATTGGGAATATACTTTTGTCTACCTCTCACCCCTGCCCTTCCCAACCCTCTACCCTTCCCTTCTATCCACTAACTGTTAAATTTTGAATGGAATTGATGCACCCCAAAAGGAGTAAGAGTGATTGGATGCATGACACAAAATAAATCTTTTTAACATCCTGAAAGTTAATATTATTGCAAACAAAATATTTTTTTCTTTTTAGGTTTGTTCATTTGCCCTTCTTCCAGAAAGTTGTACATGGTTGTTTTGTAAGGATTGGTATTGGCAATCACAATGGAAAACCAGTCTATCGTGTAAGTGAAATTTCTTTTACAACTGATTTTTTAAGGATTATAAACTGTCTTTTATTTATTTTTTACAAAGTGCGTTACTATAATCCATAGTTAAATGTAGTGATTTGTATTGAAATTTTTTGGCAGGTAGCAGAAGTTAGTGATGTGGTAGAAACTTCAAAAATCTACCAGCTGGGGAACACGAAGACGAACAAAGGCTTGAGACTCAAGTAAGAAAGTTCACAATCATGCCTCCTTCCACCACATGCTAACTGACTTTGCTTTGATTTTTTAATTTTTAAGGCCAAACTTGTTTTTGGTAATTTAATCAAACGAGAAAATTACTTTTGCTTTAAAAGGCACGGGACACAGGAAAGGGTGTTCAGGCTGGAGTTCATCTCCAACCAGGAGTTCACCGAGCCGGAGTTCCTCAAATGGAGAGATACCTGCGAGAAACAGAATGTCACCCTTCCTACAGTCGATCACATTATGAGCAAAGTCAGGGATATCAAGGAAGCTATGATTTATGAGTTTAAAGAAGAGGACATAGAAAAGGTTAAACTCAGTCGTTTTATATAACTTTAGCCTCACTCCAACTCTGAATAAACTAACCTTCATGTTTGATTTAGATAATAAAAGAGAAGGAGAGATATAAGACTAACCCCCATAACTATGCGATGAAAAAAACGGAATTGATGAAACAAAGAGACATGGCACAGCAAAGGTAATCAATTGTGAAATTACCACTGATCTTTTTGAAAGCACAAGACAAAATTTTCAGAGGTGACGAAGATGAGGCAAGGCGGATCAGCCAGCAGCTCCTCCAACTGGAAGAAAGGGCCAATGAATTGGACAAAAAACGAACGTCGACCATATCAAGTATTAGTTATATTAATAATAGGAATAGAAGAAAGAATGTTGAAGAAGCTGAAAAGGCCATTATGGTAAGTTTTGTTTTGTAATTCTTCAAAAAAGAAAATAAATTTTAAAAAAATATAAAATAGAGTAAGCAATTTATTTTTGATCATAGGAAGAAGTAAGGGCGAACAAAGGGAAGAAAATAGACGACCCATTCACAAGACGTAGTACAAAACCTAGGATGACTTTTTCAAAAGAAGAACCAGAAGATACGCCTGCTCCTCCTCTAGTAAGTAACTGACATATGCTTTACAACAATATGCTATGGAATTTGTAGATTAAAACAAAGTTTTATATTACTTTTTCCCCCTTATTATCAGGTTAAGTAGAAAAAAATTGCAGAAAATTTTTTCATATCAGTTTTTGTTTGAAAATTCACCTTAAAAATATGTCGCATTAATCTGATTTAATAGTGTCTGATGAAATAAAGTCAGGACTGTACTACAGCTTAGTGTTGAAAGTCGATTGCATCCATTTCAGAAAGTTGTTGCTTCTGTGTTAGCTATTTTTCCCCCACATGGGATCCCACAGCAAAGGTTATATCAACCCTCGGGGTGCTGATGTGAAAAAAAAGTCCATTTGTATGTCGGGTTGGAATGCAGAGCTGCAGCATTCAAACCCAAGACCTTTACCTTACAGTCATGAGCACCTTACCATGACAATGCTAAAGCGGGGAACACACGCTACCCGATGCCTTATGCACATTTATGCGACGTCAAGCACATGCCACGTATAGACACACAGCGTGTTTCACAAATCAGTATCACAATCGCAACGCCTCTTTTGTTCTTAATGCATTATTTTGAGAAAAACCATATAATAAATTGTTAGTTAAATTTAATTGTTTTAAATAAAGTTATTCCAGTGTCTTGATAATTTTCTGCCTAACCATCGTAATTAAATAATTTTTATAAAAACTCATGAATTTTTGATCTCATTTAATTTGGTTTATATTAAAATAAGAATGTTGTAATTAATATAATGAAAAAATTACATGTACATAGTACAAAATAAACATAAAATTTGTTAAACTTTTATAAACATATATGAGTGTCCTGTTCTGACACTACTCGACGAAAATGGTGTAATGTTATGAGCAAAACCATGAAATAAATTGTTAGTTAAATTTTATGAAAAAACCGTTTAATAAATTGTTAGTTAAATTTTATGAGCACAACCATGAAATAAATTGTTAGTTAAAACCATGAAATAAATTGTTAGTTAAATTTTATGAAAAAACCGTTTAATAAATTGTTAGTTAAATTTTATGAGCAAAACCATGTAATAAATTGTTAGTTAAATTTTATGAGCAAAACCATGTAATAAATTGTTAGTTAAATTTTATGAGGACAAACATGTAATAAATTGTTAGGTAAATTTAATTGTTTTAAATAAAGTTATTTCGGTATTTTGATAAATTTTCTGCCAAACTGTTAAAATTAATTTTTTAAAGTAAAATCTAATGAATATTTGATCTCGCTAATTTGGTTTATATTAAAATAAATATGTTGTAATTAATATAACGACAATAATACATATATGTGTGGTGTTTAGTGACCGTTAGTCAATGATTATTCTGAGATCGTGAGATGCGGTCAAACCAGACTGCATCTCACGATCTCCGAATAATCAAATACATATAGTTTGAAATAAAAATATGAGTGTCCGGTTCTTTGTATTTTCCGGGGTTAAGAATAATAAATTAATGAAGGAAAACTAAATATTACGTTATTAGCATGTTTGCCTTCTAGTCCCAGCAGTTAATTATATATTTGTTTAATGTGTTTTTAATTTTTTCCCCTATTAGTTAGCAAATGGCCAAAAGGACAATTCTCTAGGTGGGAATAAAACAAATGAATCAAACAAAGACAATCCTCTCAACTCAAAGACTGACGATCTATTCACCGCTCATGATTTTGATATTGACCTTGACGTAGAAGTAACAAGTAAGTATTTCTGTACGCCTGAATATAAAATTATTTGTTTAATATTTTTTTTTTTCCTATTTGTTATCAGATAATCCTGTGAGTATGGAACCAAAAGCTATGATAATGGTTAAAGACACGGGACCGAAGAGATCGCTCAATTTAGAAGCCTTCAAGAAAAAACGGGGGATGATATGAAGACTTTTATAATATTTTTAATGTCGCAGTTTCAATCGTCGGTAGGATAGACTTTAAGGGATAATATGAAATGTGAACCCCAAAGAAAATTGTAATATATCTATTCGGAAAACAAAAGAACTTGGTATTGTACATTTAAAAAGTCGATAGTATGGACTCGAGTGGATTTGTTATGAGAATTAACAAGTTTTTTTATACCTTATGCAAAGACGATAAAGGAACTTAAATAGGTTTACTCGGATATTTTAAATCAATTGTAATGTACTTAAGTACATTTAAAGTATTTTAGACCCTACTTAATATAAAACAGTTTCCCCAAAGTAAGCTTATAATTTACTTTCTCAAAATAATTGAATTAAAATACTATTACATTACAATTCGCTGTTAAATAAAATTAGTTCCTTTTTTCTCTTTTGTTTTTCCTTTTTCTTTTCTCTTTTGTAAATGAATTATACTGTAAATATTTTGTTGTACAAAAATAATGCAAAGTTGATGATTTGTAAACACATCTTACGATTTCATTTTATCAGATATATTATTTATTTTAGTTCCATTCCGTAATTCCATTTGAACAATTAGCAGAACATGTTGTTATATAAATTGTTTTATAATAGTAAATAAAGTATGTTTAACTTACAAAATGTTTATCCCTTATTTTAACTTGGAATTATTTATAAATGATTAGTTCTGATTTTTTATGTGCAATTTATAAAGTTACACAATATATTACGTGTGATTAGTTAACGTGTATATACTTTTTTAAAATAATTTTTAGTATTTATAATTATGTTAAAGTAATGACATTACTTCTACTTTCCTGCTATACTGTTGACCTGAATTTCTTAATTACTTAAAATGACTTGTTCTTGCTACAGAACTTTCAAAAGCACAAACTTAAAGACCATTAATACATTTTTATTTCAGGTAATCCTACAGATATTTTAGTAATAAATAACCTTTTATTGCATAATATGTATTACAAAAGATGACATATATTTTTTTAGTATATAAATACGTAGTTATAACACGCTAAAATGCACTTACGAGTGTGAATTTCTTGAAGTAAATTCATTGTAACACAATATTTAAAAAATTGGCTGCTGTCAGTTAACATCTTAGTTTCCTATATTTGGAAACGATAGTTCATTTAGAAAATATAATGTTATCGTTAACTTCTAATCTGCCTATTTATACCAATTGTTTAATGATGTTCACATCTTTAAAAGCAAATCGTACAATAGAAATAGTTTTAGATTTTTTAAACTCAGATTTGTTTTAAATAATTTAAATTTTAAAAAAAGTTTGTTTTGAAAATATTTAGGAATTGTACATGTATCCAGAATTTATGTTGCGTATCCAGCAGCTCATGACTAAAAAAGCAGCGATTGAAAATGTTTGTCTCAAAATAAAATTTTAAAAAATATCCAATTGTTTCAACTTCTGAAAAATATTAGAACATTAATACTAAAATGAAAAAAACCAATGAATTTAAAATAATGCGATCACTTTTATTTACTTGATAATGTTGAAACTTTTCCATTTTGTACCAAACGTAACAGTATAACAAAAGTATTTAATTTTAAATAATTATTTATGGCAATAGAGTTCATTTTATTTCTGAAAATATTTTTCAATGTACAGACATTTTTATATACAATTTTTAATTATAAATCAAAAGTAACTAGAAGAAATATAAATTATACATTTTACACTATTAAGGTAAATCTGACCTGTTGTTGAATACATGATATTCAAACTGCAGATTAAAATGGATTAGATAGATATTTTATATCGTTTTCGTATTTAGTAAAAAATTTGTAATGATCGCTAACGGAAATAGATCATGGCATGATTGCCTTTCTTTCTTTTATAAATGGTTGATTGTTTATTCAACAACAATTTTTTTCTTACGTAAAAACAATTTTACAGACAAGTTTTTAAGTAATATTCAAATTGAATGTTCATAGTAAGAACGTTGAAGCATATTTTAGTCAAAATTTGTATGCACTATTCTATATTTGTTTTGTTTTTACAGTTGCCAAAAAAATCAGACGACAAAGAAGATAGAGGGGTCACAAAAATTTTTCTCTTGACCTGCTGACATCGTATGAGCAATAGAAAATAACAAGGAAATTGTTTTTTATATTGTGTGTTATTCATAATGACGAAATACTTATTTTAAAATGGCACTTTCTAACAAAATCCTTTGACTTTTTTTGCCCGGTTTCACACATAGACTCATCAAGAAATATGAAGAACTTCAGATTTTATTTATTAATATCTTAATATATCACAATATACATTCTTTTCAATTGAAGTGTGAAAGGAAGCTGCGCTTTATGACCTTCAACTAAATGTCTATGTTACATTGGCTTTGATTTTTGAATTATGTTGTCTACTACATAGTACACTATATTTATTTTCTCAACAAAATTTATTTGCTTACTTTATGCTTAACAAATCTACTTCAAAAATACAAATAAAAACTATTTTTGTTAAATCTTTACAATTATGTATTTTGAATCATCGTGATAGTGATATAATCACGGAATTATGTGCATATTTAAAAGGATATTTTACATTCTTTTAATCAATTTGATTTGAATTATGTGTATTATTTTTCCTCAACATATCACATCAAAAAATATGTATTTAAAATTATCGTCTTTCAATTTATATGTGTGTGTGTGTACTAGTTTTTAACAGTTTAAAGTGCTGGCGTAAAAAAAGCTAGTTCCGCCGGGTTTTAAAATAGGAAGAGGAAATAAATATGGAATATCTCTAGAACAGTTCGATCATGACGCATCGCATCCAGAAATTGCCTCCGATGGTCTAGAAACGGCGTTGTACCATAGAACATCGCCAAAAGAAAAGGCGTGAACAAAACAAAATTAAGAAAGGGGGACGTCAATTTCAAATTAACGATCCGAGAAAGAGCAAAGGAATAGAAATGGGCAATTAATTTCTTAAGCGTCCAATTAACATTTATCTAACAATTGAATTTTCTTTCTCCCGCAGTTCCTTCCCTCTTGACCATATAAGGCAATATCCCCCAAATCTTTATTTTGATTGGTCGACAGCCGTACCAACGGACTGCTTCCTTCTCTCTTCCGCCGGGAGCCTTCTCTCTCCGAGTCGCGTGGAAATATATTTTTGGATAATTTTAATTTTTTCAGCCAATCTTTTTTTTGTACCGGTGTGGATTTTTTTTACAAATTTTGGAGCCGTAACGGTTTTAATTTTTTTTACGGACGAACAATCCGCCGGTCGGAACACCGCGAAAGGAGGGGAAGAGGAGGTAATAGACTTGAAGCGTGTGAAAACAAAGTAGTCCCGGTGTCGTTTAAAAACCGCCGGAGTTGAACCGACTTTCCAGGAGATTTTTTCCTCCAAAACGCGGATTTCGTCGAAAAAGGCTCAGCAGTGTCGTAATGAACGACTTTTGAAGGAAATGAGTCGGTGAGGGCGGAAGGGGTCAAGTTAAGGCGTCTGGTGGTGGGGTCGGCGGTCGCCTCGGGTGGCGGATGAATACACGAATCTCCCTCCGGGACTAAAATTAATTTCCCGGCGGTTCAATTCAGTCGGCAGTGAAACGGAGTGAACCACCACCCTCTCTCCGTCAACCGTGACCCGCTAGACTTACGATTCTAAGTGAATTACTTTTACTTTTTATTAATCGCCGCAACCCCGAAAGGATATCGCACAAAGGAAATGGTGAGTTGTTTAGTTGTAAGCGATGACTTTTCCAAGTCCAGCCGTTCTTGGGCGACCGGTAGTTTTCCGGAGAATAACTGGGCAGTCGGACATGCCGGCTCCGCCATTTTTTGCCCTCGCTCGCCTTATTCACCGGCCGACGGGTTTTTCACGATTTTCCAACCGGCGGGGACATAAGAGAGCCGCTTTTCCGGAGGCGAGCGAGAGGCCTAAAGCCGAATTTCCACGCGTATCCGGGGCCGGGCCGGACAGCCGGGGTACGACGGCGTGGACACGCTCCTCCACGGATTCTGCCCTCGTTCTCTCTTCCATTCCTGACCAGACTACGGATCAAAACAAAACAAAAATCAAAAATCTCTCTTTAAAATAACCAAAATCTAAATGAAACTAAATTCTGGTCAATTCCATAAAGGCTGCATGCGAAGAACCGCCTCTCACAACATCCACTTTTGATCATATTTACTTAAACGACTTATTAAAAACTGCGATAAGACTTGGTCCTGTAATATTTCGCCGAGACGAAACTAAATCCATCTTCAAAAAAAAACTTAGATTTTTTAAAACAACCAAACTAATACTGAGAATTAAATATAGAAAAAATTGAGAATCTTCTTTGTATGGTGTAAAAGCGATACCGGTACGTGTCTGGTATGATGAGCCGGGGGCGGCGTTCCAACGGGCGGGGTGGCGTCCTCCGACTCTCTTCAATTCGGTATACGTGTTCATCAAATTTTCCACGAAACTGCGATTTTCCCATCATCAAAACAAATTTTCTTCCTCCTTTAAATTAGTTTTTTTAAATAAATATCATTAAAATAATATTTTAGTTTTATATCTCTGCCCGATGATTATTAACAAATTAGGCTATTCAGGGTTACAATAAAGACCGTCTCATGAATTTTTTAATTCTGTGAGAACTAGTGCGATCAACTTTATGACCGCCTCTTGTCTTCATATTTCATTTTCTCGAGTTTTCCGTGCTACAATTTATTTTCCATAAATTGCTTTTCACATTTTCAATGATTATTAAGGTGGAAAACTCCAGTGTTCAGAAAAGTTTGATTTTCCACTGACAAGCTTTTATGATAAATAAAGGAATTAATCAAATTCGTCTTTCGTCGAGGTTTTTTTTTCATATCCCTATTTATAATTAGATTTAATTATTTATTTGTGTGAATAGCAGTGGATCTCAGCATGAGGACATTAATTGTTCCTTCTTGGTGATTACTTGGAAGGAATTATAAGGAAAATAAAGATTAAAAAAAACTGTTCTGATTACATCGGAAACGATTAATGTACATAAAGGAAGCGTTGGCTTATTTTGTCATTTTAGGCTACCAAAAATACTCAAATGACTATATCTTAACCCTTTTCTCACCCACTGCATAATGCACACGCAACATTATTTAGCCTTTGATATAATAATTATTACAATTTTCTAGGAAAAATGTCAATTTTTTTCAATTACGCAATTTTTAATCTAACTGTGACTGTGCAGGAGTAATAGTCATGCGATGATGTTGCTTGTGGCTTGGAAATATTTTTTGCAGTCCTCACAATTTGAAAGAGAGGGTCAAAATCATCTGTCCACACTCCAGAGAAATTTATGAACAAGAAAATGCCCATAAACTTTCATTTAACATGAGATGTTCAACTTTTTAAAACAGTTAAATGAAAGGTTTTATAGTTGAAAACAGTTTTAATTAAAGATCCAAAAGAGTTTTTCATTTAACTTTATAAAACAGTTAAACGTACCTTTAAAACATTATGTACTTAAATTAGACCAGTAAAACATAAATAAATTGTTTACTTAACAGATTATCCCACAACTAATTCAATCCAGAATTTTGTAAATCCTCTACTTACAGGCAGTTTTATTCAAAGTAATGTTTGATTTATGTATATTTGCTTTTTATTGTTCGTATATTTTTTTGAGAAATTTAAGCAAGGTTAGTAATTTGAGCGGAATTTCCTTGACTTTCCTATGCTTAGCCCAAGTCATATCTGATCAAAAGATGAACATGATTGGAATGTATAATTCAAGTATAAATTAATCATCTTAGTTGTTTTAGTGTTTTATTAAGAAACTTGGGATATGTGGAGGCGTTATGAAAATTATTCTACCCTTGACTTCCTGCCTATTCATGGAAAATATAAGCACCTCGGGTTGGTGGATTCATTTGGAACAACGGTCTGGAATCCCTTTTATGATTAACTTCTGGCATTCCATACCTTTTAATGTCCTGTTCACTCTAGCTTATCTATCCTCTCCTGCATGCCAGGTCGAAAGTTAGAATTGTATGTTTAAGTTGGAAATATCGACTTTTTCACTCAAAAACACTGGATCACGGCATGGTCTTGAAGAAGAAAGCTAATTCAGTTGTAACTGTCAAGCTTTCGACATATTTTAAGGTCATCATCAGGGCAAAACAAGCAAATATGGCTGTACAGATTAGTTTTTTACAGGCGATCTTAAATCCTTTTTTTAAGTAGTTATTAACCTTTAGTTGGAAAACAACTTACTGTGAGTAGGAACTATCTTTTTAAAAAAGGATTGAACACCGCACTCACTCCATCTTTCATCATTTTTACTGGCGATCTTAAATTTCCTTGAAGACCGACTCAGTCCCAACATTGTCAAGGACTGTAACAGTATTAGTAACAGTAGAAAACTGTTACCGTCCTTGGCAGTGTCGGGACTGAGTCGGTCTTTAAGGAAATTTAAGATCACCTGAAAAAAACGAATCTGTACAGCTATATTTAAGGTTGTTTTGCCCTGATGATGATCTTGATCCAGTGTTCAAAAGTTAGAATCGCTGGTCAAACCTGTCTTAAGATTTCGCTACATTTTTCCATATTTGAGCTTTTAATTATATTTATATTGTAAAAATTATACTAGAAATGTAGTGATTGGTCTGTAGGAATTATTCACTGTGATCTGCTTCCGGGTGGGGGGCTTTTTTTAATGCAACATTTGTGCAATACTTAAATCATGGTATGAAAAGTTTCACCATTCCAAATAGAAACCGAGCCCGGATTTCCTCGAATAGTTTTTCCTCTTTTTTTTTCTCGCAACCCATTATCAAATTCGTTTGAATTTAAGAGGTAAAGTCTGGCTGGTGACTCATAAGAGATAGTGAGTCATTCACTCCTCCAAGCGGGGCTCATTCGACCCTTCAAAATAATCCATGCCTCATTCCGAATCACGTTTTAGAGGCCCTCTGAATAACTTAATAAGACGTTATAATGACGAACTTGTCATTTTTGCGTATCTAATTAATTTATCGTTCTTGACACTGTTGTGGACAAGAAGAAAACAGCTTGACATGGTACAAGTTGACTGGGAATTGGTTAAACATGTCTGGATTCATGTTTTCCCTCGTGTATTTCTATTCTGGCCATTACCTTTTTTCGCCTTACGGACATTAAAGTGGTCAGTTTGACAGACAAAGGATTTAAAATAAGAAAATTGAGGGCTTGTGGATGACTCGTACTGATGAGACATAATGTGAAGTTTCAGCTGCCCGACGTCACCGACCGCACACTTTATACTGCCAGATGGGTCTTCCTAAATATCTCCTATTTAGGTTGTCGGACAACATAAATCATTTTAGACGTGATAGCTTAAGTAGCTTTTGCCAGGCTTATCTCAGACAGCTTTTTATTATTTTAACATACGATTTTAATTTGTTTGAAAATAAACAATAAACAGTGACAATAGCTCACAATTAGCTAACTAAAAGACAGCCATTGGTTCAATTTATTGTGATTTTCTTTTTAAATTTTCCGTCGGGCTTCACGCCTTCATCAGTCTTATTAGCGAGAAGAGGCGAGCTCGTATTGATTTTACTGGTGATCATTTTTATTTTATCCCCTGTGGGGGAGGGATGAAATAAAAAATAAAGCGCCTTGCCATTTTTTAAATACCCCTTCGTGCCAAAAACCCACTTTTTAGTGTCTATTTTGGAGACTTTATGTATTAAGCTGGCTCCGCATGAATATATTTGGCGATGGACGAACATTTAGGAGTAAATTTTCTTCTGGCAATGCTACACTATTGGTTAATTGACTTAATTTTAACTTAGACGATATGAAAATTGACGACTAGTGAACCTTTTATTCCCGCCATGTAGTAAAGTAATGTAATTTATTTATTTCTCCTCTTAAGAAAAACATCACATTTTTAGGGGCTTATTTTTAAATTTTTGGGAAAACTAGCCATTTTTAGTGATGCTTATTTTCCACTTTTATTATTATTAATATTAGTAGTAGTAGTATGACCCTTTCATTTAGCTGTAACAATTTGTCTTCACACTTTAACTACGAATTTTAAAAAAAGTCTTATTCTTTAATGATCAATTTTTTGGCAACCGTGTAGTGAAGCAATTTGGGTCCACGCTATCTTTCCTTATGTTTTTCCTTTGCAAAAACAATATTTTTAGGGTTTAAGTTTTCAATTTGTGAGAAAACTGCACTATGTATGGTGATTAGTGACCGTTAGTCGATTATTCAGAAATGGAAGAGATGCGGTCTGGTGTGAACTAGGTTTCAGAAAAACATTTTTTTTATCGTGCCATCGTTTCTATCTTTATTAAGATCATCTTCAGGGTCTGGGATTTACAAACATTGTTTAAATTTAACAAAAACATGTAGGATGTGGCAAAAAGTGAATTTATACAATGCAAAAAAATATTTTTTATATTCAATCAAAGTATTTCGACTCATTCAAAGTTTTGATTGAATATTTAAAAAAAAAAAAATATTTTTTTCATTGGGTAAATTCGCTTTTTTCCACATCCTACATGTTTTTGTTAAATTTAAACAATGTTTGTAAATCTCAGGCCCTGAAGATGATCTCAATAAAGATCGAAACGTTGGCACGATAAAGAAAATGTTTTTTCTGAAACCTACATCACACCCAGACCGCATCTCCAGATTTCTGAATAGTAATAAACTGCACTATATTGATTTCCAGTATTTCTTTTTAACTTTTATTCGTG